GGGCTGGTGGTGAGCCAGGCTGGTGCGACGGCCGGTGCAGCAGATGAATTTACAGCTCACCTGTTTGCGTGTCGCTTGCCTCGCTGCCTGGAATAGAAACTGAAGGTGGCTGATTCTGAATGAAGCAGATTTCGCGGTCGATGAAGGACACGGGAAGATTGGCCTGCTGGTGAGTATCTGGTGTGGCTGTTTTGGAGAGCAAGGACTTGTTATGAAAATCCCTGGCTGCTGTTCCGTCCCTGCAGTCTGTGCACGTGCCGGCTGTAGGCTCCTGTGCCTGGGAGGTGCCAGAAAGGTTTGGTGGCTCTAGCAGCATCACGCAGCGACACTGCCCCACACCTGCTTATTGGGGTCTGAGCCTGCCTCGGGTGGCTAAAAACTTCAGTGGGATGCCGATGCTTCCCACGGCTCCCTGAAGTACACCCTGAGTTACAATTTTATGGGGGGTTTTTTTCCCTTTTTCATTAACTTTTAGGTCTCAAATACTCAAACGCTACGATACAGAGGTGGAAGAAATGAGTGAGCTGTAAAATATGTTTGAAGAGAATGGCATCTAAATTTTTGCTCTGCACCTGTGTTCTGCCTGATCGATGGAATACGTAACGATTTCCCTTTCCCCTTTCTTCCTACATTCCCTTTAACATTGATTTTCCACTGCTATTTCTGCTTCTCCCAGGCCGTGGCCTGGGACTGCTGCCTGTCACTGGTGTGAGGGCAGAGAGAAGAGCAGCAGTGCCCTGGAGGGTGTGTGGGGGACGCCCTGGTTGGATGCTCTGCTGTCCCAGCACAGAAACTGCCTGCATTAGGTGCTACAAACCAGAACTCCTGGACCTAATTTTTCTCCGTGCTGCTGCTGGAGTACTCTGGGTCATCCTGCTGGCACAGATCTCTGCTGAGGAAAAAGCAGCCCTGGTTCCCCCACTGTCTGATGGAGACATTTGTACTTGAATCATGAGATGTTACCAGTTGAGGTGCATCACTCCACACCTGCTGTCGTGTGGGTACGAACGATGTAAAAGTGGACTGAGATGCAGAGAAACAGGACCCCGGAGTCATTCTGCAGCCAAGCCTAAATGAAAAATGCGTGGGTGCCTCAGACACGGGGCTGGGCAGGGATAGCTGGGGTTTTGACTGCAGGTGTTTGTTTTCTGATCAGATGTCAATCAAGATATCTAAGCGCCCTTTTCTTTCATCACACTGATCTTTACCTCAGGTGACCAAAAACCCCACTTTGCTTCGTACATTAACAGCATCCTACCTTCGGGAAGAGGAGCAGGGGTGGCAATGCTGCAGGCTTTAAAGAGAAGAGAGCGGTTTGTTAGGGAGTGGAGCGACAACAGCGGGCTTCTGTCCACCTGCCGTAAGCACCGACCACGTTACACGTGCGCTCATCGCCCACGCCGGCCGGGGCAGAACGAGTCTCCGCACTGCGGACACAGCTGCTGACTGCTCCCGGCATTGTGACTCCCGAAGCATTCAGATTTGGCAGTCTCGGCGCTGCCTCGTTCTGCTGTCGCTCGTGCCAGGACTTGAGTCTTGCAGAGAGTAAAAGGTGAGGAGACCAAAAAAGCCCCAAAACCAAACCTCAGAAAAAACCCGAGGCTCGCGCTGTTGATTAATTGGATCGGGGGTGCGGGTCAGGCTTAAACCACACAGGTTTGAAGCACCACCCGGAGGTGGTGAGTAAAAGGGAGAAAGTTTTAAGCCCTGGATAGCCTGGATTTACTTTTGGCTCTGCAGATAAACTGATTTTCTATAGAAATTCTATATATTTTCTATAGAACGTATTCTATATTCACCTAGAGTGGTTTCTTCCCTGCTGTCTGGTGGGAGTGGCTGTACGACAAGGAGCCACTTCCCTGGACTGGGCTGACTGCTCGGGCTGCTAGGATACCGCAGCACGCGATCTGCTGCCTCTTGACCAGACGTTTCACTCTGATCCGAGACATCAGCTGATCCCAGCTGTGTGCCGCTTTCTTTGTGAAAGGTCTGTTTTAATGAACCTATTAACTGCTGTCAGCTCTGTCTACCCAGAGAAAATGTCACTGAAGTTCAGGAAATACGGTCAAGGAACCGTTTGTGTTTACTGTTGTGTTACTTCCTCTACCACTAGTGTGTCGTTATTTGCACCTTGCTGCAAGGTGATGTCATGACCACTTTCCCTGCTGCGGCATTTAGTGGGTTTTTATTTTTATTTGCACAATTTAAAGGTGAAATTCTTATTAATCTTTACCCAGACTCATGTTGACCCCAAGCCAAAGGTTGCTGAGTGATGGTTGTGACTTGAAAGATACAGAGTGTAGTGACAGGTAGGGAAAACAGCCCCCAGATTCCATTATCGGCCACAACTGGAGACTCCAAGAGTGGAGGGCCCCAGGGGTGGGTAAGTCCTGGCTGAGGAGCACAGAAGCTCATACATGGATACATCAAGCTGTGCCCTTGAGTTGTCTGACCAGTCCCCCTGGTGAAACTGTTGATGCAGCAGAAACCGTCGTTCCCTAGGGGCATCCTGCCCTTCAGCGCGGTGGGGTAAGGAACAGAGAGGGCATTTCCCTGGAGACAGGGAAAAAGGGCCTGGACCGCTCGTGACAGCGGACAAACCACCCCTGCGCTGTCCTGACTCAGCCCCGGGGTGTGTCTTTTCAGTCAGCAGCCTTGGGTCGGCACTTGTGAGCCCCCGGGGAGGCAGGTGGTGGCGGCTCCATGTACGAGCTGTCACCGCTTGGGTCCGTCCTTGGAGGAAGCTGGTTAAGACCAAGCCTAAGAGGTATCTGGGTATCCAGTTCCCGAGGCTTCTTACAGCTCCCCGCCTACAGCGAGACAATATAACTTCCCAGCTTCTCCTCAGGAGCTCATTCTGCAGGAACGTGATCAGAAATTTGGGGCAATTTTGTGCAGCACACGAAAGTTTAACCATAAAACAGACTTCAGTTTAACGTAAAACTTACTTCAGTTTAACCGTAAGACAGACCACCTTTTCTCCACTTGCTGTACCAGATGCCCGAGGTGTCTTCTGCAAGACAGTCCTTGTCATCAGTGGGCACCCAGCCCAATCTCTCTCAAAACCAAAGCTTGGTGCAGAATGCTGCGCCGAGTCTGTCATTAATGCAGCAAACTGCACTGTGTATTTCGGGGTCATGCAGCTGGAACACTGGTGCAGCCTTGCCTTTCCAGAAACACCGGCTGAATCATGGGCAGCGAGGACTGGACAGCCAAGAGCTGGGTGTCAAACCAACAGAAGAGCAGTGTAGTAACCAGCTCAGGAGCTGCCGTACGCAGCAGCGAGAGACAACTGTCCTCTTCAGGCCAGACAGCTGCCAGGAGGTGAGGCAAAGACCGAGGGCAGCCCTCTGGATACCAGCTGGTGCAAGGAATAAGATACTGAGTCCGTGGTGGAGGGCTGAAGAAGGAATGACCACCTACCAGCCCCAGAAGAAATTCTTATGTTCAGAAAGAATCATAGAATCACAGAATGGTTTGGGCTGGAAGGGACCTTAAAGCCATCCAGTTCCAACCCCCTGCCATGGGCAGGGACACCTTCCACTAGACCAGGTTGCTCAAAGCTGCCTGTCCACACTCAGTCCTTATTTCACCCTAGGCAATGCAAGGAAAAGGTTGGTTTCTTATGTTCTGCAGTTACTGTTATAGGAAAAAAGTTGATTCTAATAACTTTGTGCCTCGATGGGATTTAGTGTAGGGAGTCGATCGTGGGAGGTTGGGCGCAGAGTCAATGAGAAGTCCTTATAGAGGTATGCTCAAAGCTCAAAAAGCTCTCTCTTTATTACAATGCCTGGATATTTATTGTGTTACAACGTGCCACGCACCATCAGCCCCTTAATAATTGGCTACATTACATTGTCCACGCACCCTATCTCTATTTCTAATTGGCTACAAAGCTCCAGCCATGTGAAAACACTCCTTCCCTTGGCGGTTTAGACACCTTGCTTTACATCCGCGTTTTTGTTCGCTTACATCTGACTTTCTTCTTTTACATGCTCAAGGACACATCGTCCTTGAAGTAGCCTGGGTTGTGCATGCAGGCCTGTATTAGCACTTCGTGACCATGGTTACCTAAGAATTCCTCTACAATTTAGGATCAGACAATGGCCTCCTTCCAGGATGGACAGGCAGTTCCATCGCTGCTCAGCAGGTACCCACTATACCACATTTTGACATGTCTAAGTTGCGTTCTTGCAGATTCCAAAATCTTGGACCTTTATAGCAGGATCACACTGCACTAGCAATTAATTATTATAAATAAAAAAACCCCAATAAATATTTAATAACTTGCTATTACAGCTTTCAAAAAATACACACCTAATTTCAACATTCTCAAAAGTCAGTTCTGTGTTATACAATTATAGCCAAAATATACAAAATGTTTTTGATAACTTTAATTAATGGAGACTCTATAGGGTAATCTCTGTATTAACAATATCCTGCTAGAGAGATTTTAGCAGTATTTAAACAAACGGAAAATAAACCAAATAATTTGCTGCTACTGAACAACGGGCAGCTCTCAGAACTAGCTCCATCCCCGTGTAACAGCTGGGTTTGCCTACTGCTGTGAATAGCTGTGAGAGACCTGAAGGGCCTCTGCAAAGCTTTCCTCAAGGTCATCACGTACCTTGCTGGCTTCCAAATCACAGTCATAAGCTGTCAAGGTTAAAGTTGCCTGAGGTGAGGTTGAAGCAGCTGGGTCTTCAGATTTCACACAAGAGTCGGGCTCTGTCCCAGCACCTACCGCTTCAGCCACATCTTCCAAAAAGTCATCCCTGCTCTGCGTCTCCTTGGGACTTTCCCTGCACACCCGTGATTCACATTTGTTTGGTTCCTTTAACGGTAAGTCCGTGGTCCAAAGGGATTCTTCGCTGGTTGTGGCTTTTCCTTGGCTCTGACTTACGCTGGTGAACTCAAGCTCTTCCATCGTGCCAAACTCCTGCAGATCCCGCGATTCACAGCCTTCCCAGTCTGCGTGTGCTTGCTGCGCGCTGCTGCAGCCCAGGTCTGCCTTCAGTATATCCAGCAAGTGGCGCATTTTGCCCTAGGGGGTGAAGGAAGAAAGGGGTGAGACCTCCCAGCCCAGAACTCAGGGCCTCGCGCCGACACAAGGCAAGGGAGCTGCTTGCAGTCGAGTGACTCCACTGCACAGCAACTGGCACCAGCCTGAGTTGAGTGTTGTCCGTTGTTTGTGACTGTGCCCAGGACTCCTGATCTACAGTGATCCATGACTCTGATGGGTCTCTGTCTCTTATGGAGAGAGATGCTCCCCACTGAGCATCCTGGTTAGCTTTACCCACAGCTACACCCGTGCATTTCTACTGGTCTGTGGAGACACTGCGGAAGTCCCGGGCAGGGAGGGAGAATGTTACAGGGGAGCACCTACCTCATCCAAACGGTTCTTATTTTCTTGTATATGACACTCAAACAGATGTTCCAGAACCCTACAAATGAACAATTACATGATTTCACAGGAAGAAAACCAACTTTTAACAGATCTACATGAATTAATGACTAGTTTTTAATTTTCAATACTTCTAAGATTGTTTCATAGAATCACAGAATGGTGTGGGTTGGAAGTGACCTTAAAGATCACCCAGTTCCACCCCCCCTGCCATGGGCAGGGACACCTTGCACTAGACCAGGTTGCTCAAAGCCTCATCCAGCCTGGCCTTGAACACTTCCAGAGATGGGGCATCCACAGCTTCTCTGGGCAACCTGTTCCAGTGCCTCACCACCCTCTCCGGGAAGAACTTCTTCCCGATATCTAAGCTAAACCTCCCCACTTTCAAATTTAAACCCGTTACCCCTTGTCCTGTTGCTACAGGCCCTTGTAAAAAGGCTTTCAGTTATGCTCGGTCACAAAGAGGGCTAGTCAGAGTCGGTACCCACTGGACACGTGCTCAGCAGGCAGACCCAGCTTTGGGCAGCAGACACAAGTGTAAATAAAAGGTAGGAATAAAATCCAGCTTCAGAAAAAAATCCAGAGAGAAGTCCTCAGTCCTGAGAGCTCTCTTCCATTGCTTAAGCAGGCTGGAAGGAATTTCAGCATGGAAGAAGTGTTCTGTGACAACTAAGGTACACAGGCACTGGAACAGATTTCCAGAAGGTCAAGTGAATTTAGTCTAGCTTACATATATATATATTTTTTTTTAAAAAACAGTGCAAGAAGGGTTTTAAGGGTAGGCGACATTACCATAAAACAGAACCAGAGGGAGATCGCTCTTGAAATTTCTCAAAGATGAATTTTTTGATTTTAGTGTATTTAACTGTCTCAGTAATAGCCTTGACATGGAAAGAGAATGAGTGCACAGGACAGGAAAAACAGCTGGGAACATTGTCAACCCAGAGGAAGACCAGAACATTACACTGAAATTAAACTGCCTTGACAATGGAGCTATGGAAATGGGTTAAAATTCTGTGACTGCAGAAATACTGCAGGGTTTTACTGCTGCAAACTAAGAGTTCTTTATCAGAAAGAACTGGTATGGAAAAGAATTTGGGAGTAATACTCAAGTACGTTAATTGTATCACGACTTACTGTTTAATTATTGAAAAAAACATATTTAGCAACTGGTGAGGCCTTATCAGTGTGTAACCCTGACAACCCATGCTGAAGGCTGAATTCATCCTGGGACAGGAGCAAGGACAGAAGGCAGATGGAGGATCTGTTCTCTGAAAGACGAGTAACTTGATTTATTTAGCAAACCAGGTGCTGCAGAGCAGAATGACCTCCTCTCAGCATCACTCCACCTGGGGTTCCAGGCCAGTTTCTAACAGAGGCTTCAGCTCATGCTACATAGCAGCAGGTGGAAGTAGGTGACCCACAGGTCTTTCCCAGTTGCCCTTTCTTACATAAAGCAAAAAAGAAAAGGCAACAAAACAAAAGCAAGGGGTAACGGTGTATCCATATATTCCTACAGGCAGAGAAATGATTGCTAAACACTACTTCCCTTCTTACAGAGTCCATGTGTTTTGACACAGCATTACAAGTTTGAAAACAACCGTAACCTACCTGTTAGAAAACAGCCCAAGGCTAAGAATTTGGTTTGTTACATCTTCAATGAAAGCTAAATATAAAAGCTCTTCTTCTCTGCAGGGAGAATAGAAAACCAACTGTTAAATGCTGTACAACAGAGACACATAATGTGCAATGCAGTAAGTCCGCTCACCGTTATGGGAAATGCCATTAAGAAGATGGTACAACTTCTTGGCAGCGGTTGCTATTTTGCAAAAAGGTAATTTTATCAGGGCAAACGAAGCCTTTCGTTCAATTTGAATAACAATAAAAAACCTTGTGTGAAATATCCGACTGTCAGAAGGCCGCTACGGCGCTCTGTGTTTATGCTAGCTTTCTGCTGTGGTTTAAATGAGCACAGGGATCCTGGGCGGGGAAACAGGCAAATCATGGCAAGTGTTCAGACCCTGCTTTGCACTGAAGAAGAGCGGGGTGCTAACTGGGAAGAAAGTGTAAAACTGCAGCTGATGCTCTGAGTAAAGGCTTCCAACGGAGCTCCTAGGGAATGTGACTGCAGCTGAAAATGGCCAGTCCTCAAAGGAAGCTCAGGAAAAGGGAAGTGCCTATGTGACAGCCTCCGTTCCTTTCAAACAACATCTCCTTGATGTACAAAGCCATTGTTAGTGTGAGACACGGCTCTCACCTCTTTCATCACATTTCTCTTTATCTGAACACCTCTTAAAGCCTTGTTGATGCCAATTGCTCTAAATGGGAGACTCTCCAAAAGTTTGGAAAACAAGACAGAAAATCCCCAAAGAAAGTATTTCAGTGCTGTTTCTCTTTCACAGCATCTTTCTCAATATCCCAGAGTATCCAATCAAGCTTTATCGAATCATCCTCCGGCCTTAATAACCAGAAAATAAAAAATGGGACGCATTTTGGATGACTCTCAGTATGTAAAAATTGTTATCCAGCCTGAAGACTACCATTTTGGTTCCCTCTATAGTCAGCACATATCTATAATGTTACATCCTTAAAGTTTGGCACAAACAAGCCTATCCTAAAGCAGAGAGAATTAAAAGACTTGCCCAAGGTCACCCGATAAAGCATTGGCAGCTTTTCTGACTACAGCTCAAACCCCTTCTAGTTCCCATCAGATTTCAGAGCAGAAATGTGGTAAGAATGCCCTTCAACTTGATATTTTGTTTTGCCAACACTTGCTACAGACATTACAGACCAAAAAAGAACTGGAAACGTTTAAAGTACAGCAGCTAGACAAGAAGAGAAGCCTTTCTTCTGAGTTATAATGAATTCTCTTCATTTTTAGATCCACATGGAAAATTTTAAGTGTTATATTACACTTCGCAGCCATGTCAATTCTACTGCAAAATGTGAACAGCCGTTCATTCTGAGTGCTCACTTACGGTTTCATCAGTTCTGAGCAAGAGTTTCTAGTTTAATGTTGCAAACTAGTAGAAAAAATGGTTGAAGCACTTACTCAGTCTCGACAGTGCTCCTTGCTGAAGACTGCTGAGAATACAACGATGTCTCACTAATCAGAAAATCACAGCGTAAGAAAAGAGAGCGACATTCTATAACCCCTTTATTATCATAGAATCACAGAATGGTTTGGGTTGGAAGGGACCTTAAAGCTCATCCAGTTCCAACCCCCCTGCCATGGGCAGGGACACCTTGCACTAGACCAGGTTGCTCAAAGCCTCATCCAGCCTGGCCTTGAAGACATCCACGGATGGGCCATCCACAACATCTCTGGGCAACCTGTTCCAGTGCCTCACCCCCCTCTCCGTGAAGAATTTCTTCCCGATATCTAATCTAAACCTCCCTGTTTTCAATTTAAACCCATTACCCCTTGTCCTGTCACTACAGGCCCCTGTAAAAAGCCCCCTCCCAGCTTCCTTGTAGGCCCAAGGAATCTCATCTTGCATCTCACTTTATTCTGGAGCCATGCTGTGCCATTACCCCACTTCCTTTTGGAAAAAAAACCCACCAGAACACCCCAAACCCTGCTCCAGCAGCAAAATGCCCAGCCTACACTGAAGCCTGAAAGACCATGGTTCAAGGGTATTGTAACACCTCACTAGATGCAGTGCTCAGACACCTCAAAGGACCTCGGTGTTATGTCAGACGCTATACAGACCTCCACTATCCACGAAGAGTGCCGGTTTTTTACTCGGCGTACAGTTTTTCCCTCAGGTAAAAATGCCTTTGTACGAACAGGCCAGAGAGCAACTCAGCGAGTCGCACGTGATACTTGGGTCAGCAGTGAGGAGAATCAGCTGGGAGCCCTTGCGTTCTGGCCTGATTTCCACCACTCTTCCTTCTTGTATTGTAGAGAATATTCTAAATCCCAGCATTACATTTTCAGAAGGAGATGTGGGAAACGCCTCTGGTCTGCAATTCTCGCAGATCATTGACTCAAAAGGCTGGATGTCTCAGACCCTTTTTCCTGAAAGGAAATACCAATTGGAATACCAATCCGGTATTTAGCTGTAGTACTGCATAAGTAGTATAGTCTGTGTGCTGGTTTTGGCTGGGATAGAGTTAATTTTCTTTGCAGCAGCTATGTTTTGGATTTGTGCTAGAAAGAATGTTGGTAACACACTGATGGTTTAGTCGTTGCCAAGCAATGCTGGCACTAAGGCAAGGACTGGTTCAGTTTCTCAGGCTGCCCCTGTGCTCCCAGCTCCTTCTCTGCACGCAGCTGGGAGGGGACACAGCCAGCACGGCTGACCCAAACTGACCAATGGGGTATTTCGTGCCATCAAATGTCATGCTCAGTATATAAGCTGGGGGTGGTTGGCTGGGGTGGGATTGCTGCTCAGGGACTGGCTGGGTGTCAGTCGGCAGGTGGCGAGCCGTTGTATCTCAAGTTTTTTTTTGCCTTGTGTTTTGTTTCTCTCTCTTTTTCTTTGTTCTTACTTTGTTTTGGTTTTGTTGTTGTCTTCCTTTTCATTACATATTTTTATCATCATTATTATTGTTATTATTATCATTATTTTATTTCAATTTTTAAACTGTTCTTATCTCAACCCACGAGGTTTAACTTTTTCCTCCGATTCTCTCCCACATCCCACTGGGGGGATGAGCGAGCAGCTGCGTGGTGCTTAGGTGCTGACTGGGGTTAAACCATGACAGTCTGTAAACTCAGATGTACAGAACCAACAGCTGTATTCATGTGTCGCCGCTCTGACTCCTGACAAAAATATGTATTGCTTTCTTATTGGCTTCCCAGTGGAACTTTATCAGAAGAAAATAATGAATTTTGAAGTTTGGGCCACTGATCTAAAAACCCAACCAACCAAAAGTCCTGTGAGAAGAGACTTAGAGGGAGAAATGGTAGTGAAGGCTTATGGCCTGAGAATCAGCTATATAGAAAGCAAGAAGGAATGCTTCAAATATTCCTTCCTGCTTCAAATCAGGCACCTTAGGAAGGAGGATGGAAAAGCAGGTGTTCCTCTCTCAGGCTCATCCACAGCATACCTTCTATCTTCTGCCTACAACACAGAGATAAAATCTTTATTAAAAGTGCAAATACACAGCAAATTTCACCGTTAAAATGAACATAATTAATATCTCTAATTATCTTTTTCCTACTTCCCTCTGCCTCCCAAAGGTGCTGGTATTCCCTTTCATCTTAAAAATTTAATAATCTTAAACCACCACACACTAAGGCAATTTCTGAAAGACCAAGTATCCAAAAAACTGAGTTCAACTGTCACAAACACTCAGCAATTGAAGTCAAAATGATGGATGAAAACATTTCTGTAAATATGAAAAAAAATACGAGGAGCTAGTGGAATCTGAAGTGGTGTGATTTTTCATTAAAGCATTCCAGATACATTTGGCAAGACAGAAAGCAGGCAGTATCAAGGAAAACTTGGTAACTTAAACCCAAGGAAAGCCACCTGCTGCTCTGGGACCTTCCTCAGGGGAAAGGACGCCTTGGTTCCAATTCTTCTGTGGAGGGCTTTTTGAAATAGATTATCCAGTGTAAAAATGAAGAAAACCCAGACACACACCCCCTTGAAAAAGAGGTACATTCTCCTGCTAATTCACTTGTAAAAACTGTTTAAAACTAAAATTCACTTGTAAAAACTTATTCAAGTGATAATGCACTTGTAAAAACTGTTTAAAACTAAAATTCACTTGTAAAAACTGTTTAAAACTAAAATTCACAATATCCTAAGATCTCTTCACACCCCTCAGGATTTTTTTGCATTGTTTCCACTCATTCTTCTTAAACTCTGTCTCCTCTGCAGAAGTATTTAATCTCATTACAACAAAAAAAAAGAAACTTAAATCAGTTGTGTACTGCTGTGGCAGAGATGAAGTATACGCTCCAAAATGATGGTGAAGGGTGTGATAAGAGTACCCAGATGACTGACAGATGTATTGTTACCTTCAGTGTGATCTCCTGTTCAGTCATAACTTTTCTCTCAGATGCTCTGTCTGCAGGTGGGAAGCTACAAAATTTAGAGCTGCATTAGATTTCCAAGAAGGCTACTTTCAAAATACGCAGGATGAGAACACCAGTGCCACTGTGAATTTTTCCATCAATCTGAGCAGGGCCCAGTACTAAAATGTCTCAGATTAGAGTTTCTGCCAGACTTCCATTTACACAGCAAACTAAGTTGTAGTTCATTCTGAAGGATGACAAGAGTCCACAGTCATTTCTGTCAACACAGGGGATACAAATCCATTATTTGCCTCCATAATTACAGGGGATAGCGAAATTATCCAAAATAATTGTTCAGAATTGAGAATGGAGACAATCCTATACAATAAAAGTGCACCAGGGAAATACATGACCCACAGCCAGAAAATCCAAGGTTGCAATATAGAGCTGAAGCTATTCCAGTTTTATGAAACCCCAACTTTGTTCCCTGACAAAAACCAGTTAGGCATGCAGGCACTGAGGACACAAAAGAAAAAAGATTTCTTTTTATGAGGTAGGGTCAGTAAAAACAAGCCTAATCAAAACTGTTTTAATTTGCTAAGGAGTTCAATGCAGGAGGACATTAATTTTGTATAAAATATTTCACGTAGGATACATCTGAAGGCATTTAAATTAAAATGATAAAAAGACAATGAAGAGCAGAATTCAGGAGTTAAAAAAAAAAAAGAGGGAAAAAGAGGGATCTTTGGATTAATTAACAAATTGGAAACTATGAGAGTACAGGGGCAGCAGTGGGGAACTACCTGCATGCTCAGAATGGTTAATTCTTTAGAAGGCAGAAAGCAGAACTGTACTCTGGAGAGCACAAAGAGAGAGGGAACGACTATCCCCAGGAGATGTGAGATCCCACGGTCTGGAGTTAGCAGCACTTTGTATCCAATTTGTACAGACGAAACCAGTTGCTCCAGAGAGGAAACGACAAAACAGGGCAGTGAGAACAGGAAAAAAAAAAAAATCACATTCTGCTCTAGCTTTTGCTAAGGCACATCTAGACTAATTTCAGAATAATTAGCCTGGTTTTATGCAAATGTTAATGAGAGCAAACCACGCTGCTTTTGTGAAGATACTGTTATGATAACATCTAAATTACACAGTTTCAGAATATTAATCTCTGTACCTGAGTGCATCAGTCTGCGTCTGAGCTTCCGCGTGCTGCTTGTGGTGGTTTTTCTTCTTCCTTTGAGCAGGACGGTAATACCTGTACTCCAACAGGTAAGACTTTGCATCTGATATTAAGGTGCGTGGAGTGAAAGGTTTTCGGCTATCAGTAAAGAATACAGAGTGCCTGTCTAGAAGATCGCCACTCTGTACTTTGGATTTACGTCCTTGATACTGCTGGGAATGACTAAGGCTCCTGAAACTATCAGTGGAGCAACTGCCTGAAGGTCCAGAGCGTTTTCGTGATGCGCTTGATGTACTGACACTCAACCTGGAGTCAGACACGTTAGTTGTACTGGGGGAATGTCTTCTGGCATACTGCAGCGGACAGGAGTGAACCAAGCAACGCTTGCCGTAAGGAGACGGCGCTCCTGACAGGTACCGCGTCTGCCGAGCCCCGGGGAAGACACCGTCTCCGTCTTCTGCTTCCAAGAAACTCTAGAAACAAATGAAAACGAGGTATGATTGCTGTGCAACTTACTAGCTTTGGTACTCCCAGCTGTTACTGTTATGCACTGGGAGGTATTTCCTATGTAAAAACTTTCCATTTTTGTAAAATCCAACTGGTTTCAGCGCAGCCCTGGTGCTGAGAGAATTAAAACCTTGTCTGTGGAAATAGGAGAGCAGTAAGAATATGGTTTGCTTCAGTAGCAAAACGCTGGGGCTTTGGTACAGAATATCGATGGCTACATCAAACCAGGAGTTTTAGTCCAAAGGCTCAATACATTTTTAAAAGTCAAGGAATCATTGCACTGAGGCAAACTGTTTTATCTGGGTATGCTCTGTCCATACCACCCGGTGAGGTAAGGTAGACATTATCCATCATTATCCTACTGACTGGTTCACAGTACCTATTCTCTCCAAGCGTGTCCCTGTTGCCTACCTACAAACCCTATCAGCTGCACGGCCTATCGCGCCCCGGCTGTCTTTATGAGATGCGTGTTCTGTGAGAGACACCGCCCACCGATCAGCTCAGGCCAACATGGGAAATACTGCGGTGTGGTTTAAGCCACAGAATAAGAAAACGCTGTTTATTCCACGTGTGACCCTTTCTTCCTGTAGGTGGGAGATGCACAACCTTCGGTAGGGCTGTACCAACACAGGATGTTACCCTGTGCAGTGGCATCTGCTCCGTGGGAAATGTCCTAACTGCTGTGACAGTACAACCGTGATGTCCTCCAGCAGACACAGTCAAGTTTCTATCCTGTTCTCCTTCGCGTTTCTCAGCCCCGCAACTCCCCCTCTGACACTACAGAAGGCCAGCGGTGCCAGCAGTGAGCTCCCTACAGTCAAACAGGACAGAAAACCATGTGCTGAGTTTATACGTAGCTCTGCTCGATTTCAGGTGATGGCAGAGAAATGGTATTACCGATCCTGGTTCTGAAGTGTTCAACACATTACGGTTTAAAAAAGTACTTCAGTCCTCAGCAGCAAACTCACATTCAGCATTACTTAAAAGGCTACTAGTTAGACAACAACCTAACAGAGACAGACCAGTAGCAGATGGTGGTACGGCTAAGGCAAGATGTAGGCAGTGTGTCATTCAGGCTGAAATTATGGTCAGCTAACTCACTCCTCCCCAACAGAGGCACAACCTACGTCTATTGTACGTGCAGGTTGAAGTCCAGGTGTCAACTTCCGTTAGTAAGAACGCCTAACTGCGGTTTTCAGTACCCATCTACTTTGCACAGACTCTAGCCAAACAAATCTCATGGATGTGGAGGACAATCAAAGCAAACGGGGAAACCTTACAGCAAAAGCTCACCTGTGCCTCACTTTTTGAAAATAGGCAGATTATTAGGATGTGGACTGAAGGCTGGGTGCGATTTTCCCCAGCAGTTAGTGACAATGGACTGAATGCCAACAAAAGCAGCAAAATCAGCTGTAGTAGGAAGTGCCTGTGGGAATTCTGCAAGAGAAACTACTTGTGAAACTTTCAGTGTCTCTTACTGGTGGAGGTAGGGAGGGGGAAAAACCCCAAACAACCAAAAACTTGGAAATCCTTGTACATTTGTTGAAAATTCCTGACACTGTAACCTACTAATACACAGTGCAGGATAGTAATGCGTTACTAGTAAACTAGTAACATATAGTACAGCATATTAACCTCTGTAATTTCACAGAATGGCTTGTAAATACACACAGATTTTCTATCATTCAAATCCTAAAGAAAGGTGCTCTTAAAAGTTCCAAGTAATATGACTCCTGCTGTGTGAATGCTGCGTTTTCTCATAACACTGCTACTGTTACTGCCTTCAACCTACACTCTTCCATACTCTTCCCTTCCAGAACCACTTATTTTAAATTAGAGCTCAAAATGATGAATATACTTTTTGTGGCATGTAGCAAATGCTGTTTAGAGGAATATTAAAAAAAGCAGAGAGTTTACCATCACAATTAAGTCACACATCACACTGCTGTCATACCATATATTTCCTTCACAACAATTCCACACTGTTTTCTCTCACATCAATAAGACCTATCTATGCTATTCCAGTACCCTAAAATGTCCATAGTTGCTGATTCCTAATGTAAAAAGGGTTTTTTTTCAGTTAGCTGAGCCAAAATAAGCCCTTCTTGATGGTGTCTCGTGCGACCCAACTTTGTTTTACGACTACAGCACAATTAAATGCTGAACTGATAACATACAGTAACAATGCCAAACAAATGCCTGTGTTAGCAAGCAGTGTAACAAGGCTTACCAGCGTGATTGTTTGCATATAAAGTACTTGCAGTGGTAGCTCAGCACTACAGAAACCAGATAAGACTAGAAAGTGTCAGAAGTCACCCTATATAGATGTTTTGAAAACCTGATTCCATACTCTTCAGTATGTATTATAAACAGCTTAATTTTTCTCGGATAGTTCTTACTCTCAGTGAATACAACAGTTTAGGGAGCTGCAGTATAAATCAGATTGTAGAAGCATCTGTGGACACAGGATGACTGGTGCACTTCGAAATATAAAGTAATAACAAGAAAAAGGTACTAAGTGGTATTAGCCAATTACACAACTACACCTCATGAAAGCCACGTTCTATTCCTTGGAAGCAGTTGAGCTGATCCTAAAACAAGACATAGGTACAGGTAATCATGGCAATATCCTAAATCTAAGCATTCCTTATTTATGGGGAAGCATAGGGCAGTTCTTTTTTCCTCCTCCTCCAATGTACCATAAGAGATAACAGACCAGATAGCTAAGGCAGTGACTAGACAGAACCGAGCTGACAACGTGAGCCATGTTCGTGTCAGTCTTGAGACGTACTTGTTCAGACGGCAGAAGGTTTGAAGCCTTTATCCTGGGGTAAACCTTTACTGCCCAAACAGGTAGGCAGTTCAGCCTTCCGATACACAAAGAAACAACACCAGGAACAAGGAACTACATTGATGACTTCAGAAAGGAATGTCAAAGAATGCTGTTTGTCTGCAATTTGTCACCAAACTTTCAGAAAATTATTTGTACACCTGTGTTGGTGCAGGCAAGTTAACTGTAAGCATGTATGTGCATCTTCTTCTCTGATCTGTATCTATGAAAACATCAGATTTTTAGCTGGGGAAAAAAAAAGACAAAAAAAGCACCTACAAATATGCTGTAACACACTGATTGATATTTAGCTTTATTCTTTAGCTAAAATTAAAAAAAAAATTATTCCATGGAGGTATCGTAGCTTTGGACATTAGCACTATCAAGAACTATAACTACATAATTTGGAGTCAAGAATCTTGACACCTATCTAGCTTACCAATACGTGTTCCTACTCTGTTGATTCAACCAACTGTAATTTGTTTTGAAAAATTTACTCAATTATAAATTTCAGCAGTAATCACTGCATTAAAAGGGTTTCATAAATTACATGTTTATGCTTCAGTTTCGTTAGCCTCAAAACTGGGGTAAAGAGAGTATTTCTTGCAGTAAGCTTGTATAGAGAGGACCCCTGACTCTTCATGGAGTTGGTGGAAGAGAAAGTTCGGGAAAAACAAATCAAAGCATACTGCTGTCATCTGATGGGCAAGAGAAGTAACACAAAGAAAGAATCCAGATTTCTCTCTAAGTTACTTTTACTTTCTAAAGGAAGTTTAATTTCTCAACTCAAAAGCCACTGAGGTGGTATCAACTGCCTTATAAAACCCAGACTTTGAAATGAAAGCTTGCTAAATGTATTTTCACATAAAATGTCTAAAGGCACCTCTCACCGCCATCGCTGAAGTTAAACCAACATGAAGCCTTGAAATTAACTTGTATGAAAAGGTCTTCCAATAGAACAGTTCATCCACCATCATAAAATGAGATCAGAGGGACACTTTATGAACTGCACTGTCAAGAAACAGAAGCCGCAATTTTGTAATAAACGAGCGTCTGATTCTTTTACCTTGAGAGAGCTTCCCCTGTAAACCACTGGAACGCTGCTTGAAGTGGGCTGGGCAGGGCAAAGGTCTCCTGCAGGAAGCGAAAAGCTGCCTTCATGGTTGCTGCTCTCATGACCCCCTTGTATGTCATCCATTCGGTTCATTACACACTTCGATAGTTCGTTAAGAACAGAGAAAGGCAAGAGGGAGAACTCACACACGTATGTGTACAAACAAGGCCTGTGTGAATATAACCTATTGACACACTGGCATCAGTAATAACTGGTTTTCTTATTCAAAACGAGGTTCCTGTTACATTCTTTCCTTCTCTGTGTGTGGTATCCACTTGTATAATGTGGTATGTTCCTACTTTTATCAAATGCTGTCATGTTATTAATAAGGGGTATTACTGAACGTGCGTATGGAAATGTATTAATTCAAGCAACCCGCATGAGAGGTGATTGCCACTATGAAACCTGAAAGGAAACCTGTAATGAACATTCCTGATTAACACATCTTCCTTTGATGCTCAGAAGGGTCTTCTGCTTTCTTCAGTCGCTTACATCTCTCATTCTGACAGAGCTAATTAAAGCACAATACATCTTCAGACTGTTAATATCATAACAGTGTAATAAATCTTTAAACATAAAGCATTTGAGTAGACAATTCACATAGCCACGCAGGCGTGCTGCATACAAAATTAACAAGAGACATTAGGAACAGTTAATGGGGCTTCCCAATCTAGATTTCATATGCACAAGCAGATGGTTGTGTCATTCTTAAGTCTCAAAAAGCAGGCTGACAGGAATCTGGAAATGTCAAAGCAATGGCAACCACACTTCAAATGGTTAACAGAGAAAATTCACCCTCCTGCGGAGCACCTTTCCTCCAGCTGACTTTGGCATGGATTCATTTCTTTAAAAAATTTTGTTAGCAGCCAGAAATGCCTATTAATAGGATTATCTGAACATGGGATACGAAATACCAGGTCTTGCTCAAATCTGAGATTTTACTCATGGCCAGCTCAGTTATTTTCTTGCTTCAGAGGTAAGTCATATCGAGCTGCATGCAGCCTGACCCGTGACTGTTTAAAAATCCAAATCAGCTTTGTACAGAAAAATTAAAATTAAAAATCTGGGGATTTCACTAGGATCTAGCTTTCCATCCCTGGCAGCAGTTGGGAAGACTACATGGTAGTGGCATTCTGTCCATAGATATCACTGTATTCTCCAGATGGTGTCAGACAGGCTTTTCTATTGTGAGAAATCTTTGAGTAATTCATTAAAGAGGGAGTATATATATCAGTAATTTGCTGACAGATAAATGAGTGGAGACCCACAAATGTGCTGCTTATCCATCCTCAAGATTTTCAGTCTAAATAAATCTCTAAATACTCATTTTAAAATTATTCACCAAGACACACAAACACAGAGTTAGCGGCACTTGCATCATCCCGACCTGCAGTCTATCATCCTGTTTTGATTATCACACATGCTGCCAACCATCATTATTATGCTACATGGAAAGAGAGGAGCAAAGTGCAGCTGTCCCCAGGACATCCTGTGCTTCCCCTGCCTCTCTACTAACTGTGGGAGACAAACTACTGTCCTTGACGTAATTAAGTTGGTAGCAATCCCACCCAAAGGCTGCTCCATTGTGCCATTTGAAAATGAGCCTGTTCCTTAGCTTCTCACTTAGGTCTTCGGCTAAAAGTAGAGAAATACGTGACTCGCCATAAACATCTATCACAGCTTAACCCACGGCTCTAGATGATATATTTGTATCTCTGGGATCAAAATACTCTTTGATTAAAATCACTGATTATTTCAGAAAGTCAGTAATGAAACCTAGGCAACCACAACAGAAGTAACTTTCTCAGTTCATTGCATGTCATAGGAGATGCTCACACTAGAGTAACTTCACATTTGTAACTACCTGTAACGGATAAAGGATTCACTGTTCTTGTGGATTTAAGCCCTTGCACACAACAGTCCAAGAGCAGGCCAGGCGGGTTCGAGACACACTGCAGCTATTCAGCTTCATAGTCAGATCCCTGTATAATAAAACACACTGACTAAATCACAGGGCTTTTAAGAAATGTGTAATGTGTGTTATATCATTTAGAGGAATTATTTTTACCTCTTTTTTGGTTTTACCACACAAAGCACTGTGTCAACTGAAAATGGTTTCTGTGATCTACTGCAGCATTAAATAATAATAAATGCATCTACATGGAAAATGAAAATGATGAAATAAAGGCACCAGACTTACCGGAATGCATAAATGCTAGTGAATGAAGCCTTTTGAAAAGTCAGGTGCATGCATCAAAGCCAGTTAGTATGTATTTAGCCTGTAATCGGCTCAGACATTGACCTTGTCAGAGTTACAGAGTTATTATATTTTTATATACATATATATATATATATGTACATTACTCTTCAATTGATACACATTTTACAAAAGCCACATTTTATTAGGCAAGATATGATGTATTATGAAAGTGATTTCTTTAACTTTTGTATTCTTACATTTAAATGTAACAGTGGCAAGGCCAGCGGAGTTCTATTTGTCTCTCTTTCTTAAATTCCTCCAGTAACCTTGTAAGATGCTTATTAAGCACAGGACCACCTGGAGTATTCCAGGGCACCTAGAGTATTCCAAAGCTGACTGCTTCAAATTTGTGCTGAATCTCATCCTAACTCAGGAATATCCCAATTCAACAAAACAATTTTTGGAGCAGTTCCACAAATAGAATATGTATGATCAGCTTTTCCCCCAGTGGCAACTGTGACAGCAGTAACGCCATCACTGTGTGGCAAAACTCCTCTACGTTATCATATGCTTTAATAGGCATCCTTGCGATTTGTTTTCCAACTGTCACCTATCGGTATATTCTGATGGCTAGAGAAATACAATTAGAAAGGCTAACTCATCCTCACAATATATTAGAGGACATCTAATCACCGAAGTAGAAGAATCCTCCCCTTGGGTATAAACAAGCATAGGAAATCAATGTATATTTTGGCAAACAAAGTAGCGTTTAAATAGGGTTTCAGTTTTAGCTCAAAAATCTGACAGCCTGATTACTTTCACTGCCTACACTTCTACCAGAAGGCTCCCTTACACATTTATCACTTCTTACGGTGTGCTGG